TAAAAGAAGAATACATTTCTTCATTCCCATGTTCATGTTGCCATATTCTTGAGGAGAAATCGATTGTAATTTCTCGCACAGGATGCGCAGGATTTCAAATATATTTTAACGCAGCATAAAAAGGATTTTGAGAGATTTTTCACTCCTTGTAAGAAGATTTTTGACAGGGGTTCTGAGAAGCAAACAAAGTATTCCTGACGAAATTTTAGCGCAGCTTTCTAATTCTTTTTACCTGTTCTTAGCGCGTCAATATATCAGCTGCCCCTTCAACATGCTCGTCAACATCCCCTTCAACATGCTCGTCAACATCCCCTTCAACATGCTCGTCAACATCCCCTTCAACATGCTCGTCAACATCCCCTTCAACATGTTCGTCAACATCCCCTTCAACTTGCTCTTCAACATCTCCTTCAACATGTTCTTCAACATCCCCTTCAACAAGCTCGTCAACATCCCCTTCAACATGCTCGTAAACATCCCCTTCAACATGCTCTTCAACATCCCCTTCAACATGCTCTTCAACATCCCCTTCAACATGCTCGTCAACATCCCCTTCAACATGCTCGTCAACATCCCCTTCATTATGCTCGTCAACATCTCCTTCAACATGCTCGTCAACATCTCCTTCAACATGCTCGTCAACATCCCTTTCAACATGCTCGTCAACATCCCTTCAACATGCTCGTCAACATCCCCTTCAACATGCTCGTCAACATCCCCTTCAACATGCTCGTCAACATCCCTTTCAACATGCACGTCAACATCCCCTTCAACATGCTCATAAGCATCCCCTTCAACATGCTCTTCAACATCCCCTGCAACATGCTCTTCAACATCCCCTGCAACATGCTCGTCAACATCCCCTTCAACATGCTCATAAACATCCCTTTCAGCATGCTCGTCAACATCTCCTTCAACATGCTCTTCAACATCCCCTGCAACATGCTCGTCAACATCCCCTTCAACATGCTCGTCAACATCCCCTTCAACATGCTCTTCGACATCCCCTGCAACATGCTCGTCAGCATCCCCTTCAGCATGCTCGTCAACATCCCCTCCAACATGCTCTTCAACATCCCCTTCAACATGCTCGCCAACATCCCCTTCAACATGCTCATCAACATCCCTTTCAACATGCTTGTCAACATCCCCTCCAACATGCTCTTCAACATCCCCTTCAACATGCTCGTCAACATCCCCTCCAACATGCTCTTCAACATCCCCTTCAACATGCTCGCCAACATCCCCTTCAACATGCTCG